TTCATAAATATAGGTATTTGTAGCTGAATAGTACTTCATACTATGCGTTTGTTTATTGTATAAGGAAATTCTTTACTGTACGTACTAGCAGGATATTGTAAGCAGCGCTATACAGTCAGTGTTGTACATTGGACAAAAATATCGAACTTTAATCTAATAAATGATTATATATTATGGGATATTTTGTTGGACTCTAGTTAAATTTTTAATATAACCGTTTTTATAAATTTAATCCAATGAATAATTGTGTATTGGACATTGTTAACTTTCAATTTCCAAGTTCGTTGGACCCATTTGACCGACATCGCTGCTATACAGTAAATGATCAATTGTTGATATAACTAAGATCTAACACAGTGGGGACAGTACATGATTTAATTACGATATTATAAGAGTTGATTTAAATCTTTTATTATGTAATCATTACGATCGTTATGAATTACGCAATTTTGTTGTTATGATTTAATAAAATACCTTACAGAAGACACCCTTTCAAGACGTTTGTTTTCTATTTATAAAACCGCAGAAACTGTAAGTGTGGTCGAAAAGCCTCTCATTAACTGTGTATTCTTTATGTGGGATATTGTTAACTTAATTTACCGTTTAAAAGGTTTGAAACTGCCGAACAATTTTTTCGATTTTCTTATTTGGAAGGAAAACTAAAGTTAAGATTATATTTGTCCTGTGATTAAGATTTGGTAAGGGTAATACTTAAAATTGCTCTCCCGACATTTCTTTTATGAGTGCCCTAAACAGATTTAGACACCCGTTTCTTGTATTTCGATCTTTTTTGCTTTTTTTTTCTTCGAAAAAACGTGTTGCTTGGCCAATTATTGTAAGATAAGGTAATTAAAAAACGATTTGATAATATTAATCGTCGAATTGGAATTAAACATATATATTACATAATGTTTTAAATAATTAGTAAATCATAAAATTTCGATATTTGATTTAAATTATAAAAAACATTCAACCTACCTTTAAATTACCTCGGCAACTGATTCTATGGTTATCCTAAAGAAATGCAGGAGACGAGGGCAATGCTTACAAAAAAAAAACCAAAAGTTTTGTTACCTAATGTTAATCCTGCCTAGAGTTATTTAGCGTCTGAAGTTGTGAGTGGCCGAAACATAGTCCCTAAAATGAATGAATGCATTAAGCAGTAATTTCTGGCAAGTCTAACAGACATGCCCCTTATCACTGATTAACAAATTAAATCACTAATTAGGAATTATATTATATGTTAGTAAAAAAAAGTAGACTCATAATAGTGATATTGTTCTATAACTCCTTTTCTATCTGTGTATCATAGTACAAAATATTTGTATAACGCTAAAATTTATAATTTATTGCAAATCATAATTTCTTTCATGCTCGATCGTTGTACGTTTTAATCTCATCATGTTAAATGATAAAAACTTGCCAAGAATTTACAATAATTCATCTACAGAATTGTCAATAAAAAGCATTATTCATGATGATAAGGATCAATTTATTAATACTTCACAATTAACAGATTTATCATTACATAATTCACAGGATTTTATAAATGGAATTATCGAAGAATTATGTGATTTATTTACTAAAGAAGTTATGAAAGGAAATAATGCTGACTCACTTTTTTACTCAATCGAACAACATATGGCAAATAAACAGCAAAATCCAGAAGAAATAATCAAATTTTGTTTAAATAATCAAACAAATCTTATTATTCAAACCAATCCTATAATTCAAAATATTCTTGCATTTTGTTATGAATATGGAAAATGGGTTCAAATTGATAATTATAAAGCATTTATTTATTATCAAAAATCTGCAGATATGGGAAATTCAATTGGAATGTGTGATCTCGGTGATTGTTATCAATATGGAATTGGAGTTGAAAAAGATGATTATAAAGCATTCATTTATTATCAAAAATCTGCTGATATGAATGATCCATATGGAATAAATTATCTCGGTAATTGTTATCGAGATGGAATTGGTGTTAAAAAAGATGACAATAAAGCATTAAGTTATTACCAAAAATCAGTTGAAATAGGTCATACTATAGGAATGAACAGTCTTGGAGATTGTTATAAAAATGGAATCGGTGTTGAAAAGGATGAACATAAAGCATTCATTTACTATCAAAAATCTGCCGATATGGGTAATTCTAATGGAATAAATAGACTTGGTCTCTGTTATGAAAAAGGAATCGGTGTTGAAAAAGATGAACATAAAGCATTCATTTATTATCAAAAATCTGCTGATATGGGCAATTCTGGTGGAATGTGCAGTCTTGGACATTGCTATAAAAATGGAATTGGAGTTGAAAAGGATGAACATAAGGAATTCTGTTGCTATCAAAAATCTGCTGATATAGGTAATTCTAGTGGAATGTACAATATTGGATATTGTTACGAAAATGGAATTGGTGTTGAAAAGGATAAACATAAGGCTTTCGTTTGTTATCAAAAATCTGCTAATATGAATAATGCCAATGGAGTATATAAAGTTGGTTATTGTTATCATTATGGAATTGGAGTTGAAATGGACGAATATAAAGCGTTTATTTATTATCAAAAACGTGCCAATATGGCACTAATAAAGTAGGCAGGAGTTGTAGACGAAAAAATTCTTTTATCAAAAAATACACAAATATAGACGATTAATTTACAATATCTTAACTTTAATACGTATCTATATTGAATTGAGGTTGATAATCATAAAACATTTCCTTATTTTCAAAGACTTAATAATTTGTGAAGTCTTGTGGAATGAACTTTCTTGAAATATTGGTATAGAAATAGAATTAAACCCATAAATGGCTCAAGGAAAACTAGTTTCGATATTGAAAGTATTATCACAGTTTTCTGTGTACTTTACATAGTTGCATTTTTCACAATGTGTACGTTAAGAAAATAATATTGGAGTAGATTATAAAATAGTTTATCTTATTTTTTGATTTTAATTTTCAAGTTTCAAAATTTAACAAAATTTTAGAAAGTCACATGTAAAATGATAGTGAGACTTATTTAAGGAAATTTTTTACAAAAAAAGAGGTTAATTTACATTGTTTTGCGTACTACGTACAGTGAATTTGATGATATTGAAAAAATAAGCATGAAGAAATTACAACGTTATATCAAGTAAAAACAACATATAAATTACTTTATATTAAATTATTATCACGAAGTAATTGAAATTATTTCATTCTTTTATAAGAAAATAGCTATTATTATTGCTCGATCAGATGACTTTATTTATACAAATATATGAAGAACATATGGGATTATGCCTCGCTGTCCTTGTTGGACTCTAATTTAAGCTACTAATACACAATTTCAGAGACTCACAACAAATCTATTGGCCCATATCGACAACAACGGCTTATTACAGCAAATTTCTCTTTCGAAACAATACAGCTAACAGTCAGCAATATTCTACATGCTTTGCAAGCAAGAAAGGATGAAGCTAGGACTATACAAATTTCAAAGGCCTAACGTGTAGAGAGGAAACACCAAAGGCAACTCTATAGCTGTAAAGAGTATCAGTTAAATTGTCCTAAGCCAATGTACATGATTACTAATGCCGCCTGTAGCTGCGGATCTAAATCATAAAACAGGTCCTTGCACTGCATAGCAGCAGAGGAGCCCAAACACAACAAGTGGTCCTTGCACTGCTACTGCAGCCGCGGAACCAAAATACAACAAGTGGTCCTTGCACTGCTACTGCAGCCGTGGAGCCAAAATACAACAAGTGGCCTTGCACTGCTACTGCAGCCGCGGAGCCAAAATACAACAAGTGGTCCTTGCACTGCTACTGCAGCCGCGGAGCCAAAAACACAAAACAAGCTGGTCCTTGCACTGCTACTGCAGCCGCGGAGCCAAAACACAACAAGCTGGTCCTTGCACTGCTACTGCAGCAGCGGAGCCAAATACAAACAAAAGGTCCTCACACTGCTATCACAGCATGAAGCCCAACATAACAGTAGGTCACTGCGCTGCTACTGCATTTACGGCACCCAAAACCTGCTTTATAGTTTCCCTTCCTTTCGCGAACTCATATAGATGCGACAAACGTTGCTCATTCAAAATCGGGCGGGTAAGGGAGGACGATAGAGCTAGCCTTCACAAGGCGAGCGATAGCGAAGAGAAAGATATCCCTCTTCTACCAAGACAGGTAACCTTAAATATCCTATACTACCTGTGAACCTTCCCACACTCTTGCATCATCGATTTCCCACAGCCATTATCCCCCTCCTTATTACCAAATCATAAAAAACTCGAATTTCAAATAATTATATGCAAAGATAAAAGAATAACCATAAAAGGATACATGATAAATCCGGAACATGGACCATAAGTCATCTGATCTTGCAATAATGATCGCCCTGTCACTTCGTTGACAGGCTTTTCATATTTAACCGAAGGCAAATCACCGACTTTATGTTTTTAGCATTAGGGTGTAGTTGAGACAAAGAAAGGGGGTTAGGTATAATAGTCCAAAATTTTAGTTAATGTTAGGATTTCGGGTGTGCCGAACATTTTCACTTAGAATACCTGACCTTAATTACTTAGCACATTTTTGAGATATAGCATCCCGGTGATTATACACCCGGTTAAAATTAACAATTTCCTTTTGATAATAATCACATATAATATTTAATATTAATATTTTTAATTTCACAGTTAAAGGCATATTGTGATATTAAGTATGAAATACTTCATTTTTGCAATGTTATAGAATATCAAAGATTATTTTGAAAGATGTTAGTTCAATTTAAAATTTGTTATATTATATATACTTGATTATTTTTTTGCAAATGTTAAATAATATATTTGCTGACTTTATTGCATGAATTCATTTGAAAAGTTTCATCATATAACTAATTATACGAATTGTTATCTTTTTAATTAATATTGAGTTAAACCTAAGAATATCTCGAAGAAAATTAATGTTCTGCTTTCTCGAATATAGAACCTGTTAAAAGATAACCAGTAAGAAAAATTATGATCGTTAAATGTTTAAGACCAAAATGTCTAAAAAAGTTGATTGATCGATTTGATTATGAAAACTGTCTTAATAATAACGATATTTTTTAACTTTATTTATAGACAGCGGGCTAAGCAAACTATCGATCCCGGTGGGCGAGTCCGCTTGAAAATGTTGTTAGACTGTAATAATTTTGTAGCCTGTTAAAATATTTAGGTGGGCTTTTAAATAAATGCAATTAAATAATATCAATATTATTTTTTGTTGTTATATTAATTTTTACTTTTTATAATTTTATAATTTGCTTATTATGAAAACATTTAACATATAAGAAACGAAGCGTATGATTTACTGGCATATGGTATCAAATTTGCTTCTACGTAATTGGAGATCCATTCTCATGATTTCTATAAAAATTACTATACATGATAACATCAATTGTGTGCTTTACCATTTAAAATTATGACAATATTATTATCTATTATATATTTTAATTTTAGATTTGTCATAAAAAACGTGAACTGAGAGTCGGAAAATCTAGCTGTGCATTTTAGCGTATTCAATTAGTTGTATCTGAAAAACGTGAACTGGGTGTGAAAAATTAGAAATTTATCAGTTATGACAAATTGTTATAATTCAGAATTAACTGATTACATTAATTATACTTTACTGACATTAAATATTCAATTACTGAAGTTATAGCGGCATTTCGATCGATTGCATAATCAATGTCACAACGTGATAAAGGACACAGTTTCTTGCATGATAATATCGTACTCAGTCGTCTATTTGACTTTTAAAATCAACTTTCACGTTTTATGCATCTTTGATATTACTATCTAAGATATGATATGGATAACGTTAATAATGTGTATTGGTGTTTTGTACTAGAATTTTTACAGCAACTCATATTAGAAATCGCGGCCACAAATATTAACAATATATACTTTGTACACTGGAATAACGAATAGATTTTGCAACAAAATTTTTACAACAATAATGCAAACTAATAACAAAAATTTTATGCAAACTCAACCCTAATCACATACTGCGAACACAAAAATAGCGAGTTTTTAGCATAATTTTTTTCATAATAGAAATCATAATAATTTCAATA